GGGTAGCAGTAATGTTAAATGATCAGTTATGGAAGGAGAAGAGAATATGAATGTGTAAATTCGAGAATTATGTGGATTAAAGTAAAGGTTGGATGCGAGAAGTGGGTCATAATAAGCGTGTATGCACCTGGAGAAGAGAGGAATGCAGAGGAGAGAGAGAGATTTTGGGAGATGTTAAGTGAATGTATAGGAGCCTTTGAACCAAGTGAGAGAGTAATTGTGGTAGGGACCTGAATGCTAAAGTAGGAGAAACTTTTAGAGAGGGTGTGGTAGGTAAGTTTGGGGTGCCAGGTGTAAATGTAATGGGAGCCCTTTGATTGAACTTTGTATAGAAAGGGTTTAGTTATAGGTAATACATATTTTAAGAAAAAGAGGATAAATAAGTATACACGATATGATGTAGGGCGAAATGACAGTAGTTTGTTGGATTATGTATTAGTAGATAAAAGACTGTTGAGTAGACTTCAGGATGTACATGTTTATCGAGGGGCCACAGATATATCAGATCACTTTCTAGTTGTAGCTACACTGAGAGTAAAAGGTAGATGGGATACAAGGAGAATAGAAGCATCAGGGAAGAGAGAGGTGAAGGTTTATAAACTAAAAGAGGAGGCAGTTAGGGTAAGATATAAACAGCTATTGGAGGATAGATGGGCTAATGAGAGCATAGGCAATGGGGTCCGAAGAGGAATGGGGTAGGTTTAAAAATGTAGTGTTAGAGTGTTTCAGCAGAAGTTTGTGGTTACAGGAAAGTGGGTGCAGGAGGGAAGAGGAGCGATTGGTGGAATGATGATGTAAAGAGAGTAGTAAGGGAGAAAAAGTTAGCATATGAGAAGTTTTTACAAAGTAGAAGTGATGCAAGGAGGGAAGAGTATATGGAGAAAAAGAGAGAGGTTAAGAGAGTGGTGAAGCAATGTAAAAAGAGAGCAAATGAGAGAGTGGGTGAGCTGTTATCAACAAATTTTGTTGAAAATAAGAAAAAGTTTTGGAGTGAGATTAACAAGTTAAGGAAGCTAGAGAACAAATGGATTTGTCAGTTAAAAATAGGAGAGGAGAGTTATTAAATGGAGAGTTAGAGGTATTGGGAAGATGGAGGGAATATTTTGAGGAATTGTTAAATGTTGATGAAGATAGGGAAGCTGTGATTTCGTGTATAGGGCAAGGAGGAATAACATCTTGTAGGAGTGAGGAAGAGCCAGTTGTGAGTGTGGGGGAAGTTCGTGAGGCAGTAGGTAAAATGAAAGGGGGTAAGGCAGCCGGGATTGATGGGATAAAGATAGAAATGTTAAAAGCAGGTGGGGATATAGTTTTGGAGTGGTTGGTGCAATTATTTAATAAATGTATGGAAGAGGGTAAGGTACCTAGGGATTGGCAGAGAGCATGCATAGTTCCTTTGTATAAAGGCAAAGGGGATAAAAGAGAGTGCAAAAATTATACTGGGATAAGTCTGTTGAGTGTACCTGGTAAAGTGTATGGTAGAGTTATAATTGAAAGAATTAAGAGTAAGACGGAGAATAGGATAGCAGATGAACAAGGAGGCTTTAGGAAAGGTAGGGGGTGTGTGGACCAGGTGTTTTACAGTGAAACATATAAGTGAACAGTATTTAGATAAGGCTAAGAGGTCTTTGTGGCATTTATGGATTTGGAAAAGGCGTATGACAGGGTGGATAGGGGGGCAATGTGGCAGATGTTGCAAGTGTATGGTGTAGGAGGTAGGTTACTGAAAGCAGTGAAGAGTTTTTACGAGGATAGTGAGGCTCAAGTTAGAGTATGTAGAAAAGAGGGAAATTTTTTCCCAGTAAAAGTAGGCCTTAGACAAGGATGTGTGATGTCACCGTGGTTGTTTAATATATTTATAGATGGGGTTGTAAGAGAAGTAAATGCGAGGGTCTTGGCAAGAGGCGTGGAGTTAAAAGATAAAGAATCACACACAGGGTGGGAGTTGTCACAGCTGCTCTTTGCTGATGACACTGTGCTCTTGGAGATTCTGAAGAGAAGCTGCAGAGATTGGTGGATGAATTTGGTAGGGTGTGCAAAAGAAGAAAATTAAAGGTGAATACAGGAAAGAGTAAGGTTATGAGGATAACAAAAAGATTAGGTGATGAAAGATTGAATATCAGATTGGAGGGAGAGAGTATGGAGGAGGTGAACGTATTCAGATATTTGGGAGTGGACGTGTCAGCGGATGGGTCTATGAAAGATGAGGTGAATCATAGAATTGATGAGGGAAAAAAAGAGTGAGTGGTGCACTTAGGAGTCTGTGGAGACAGAGAACTTTGTCCTTGGAGCAAAGAGGGGAATGAAATGAGAGTATAGTTTTACCAACGCTCTTATAGGGGTGTGAAGCATGGGTGATGAATGTTGCAGCGAGGAGAAGGCTGGAGGCAGTGGAGATGTCATGTCTGAGGGCAATGTGTGGTGTGAAAAATAATGCAGAGAATTCGTAGTTTGGAAGTTAGGAGGAGGTGCGGGATTCCCAAAACTTTTTGTCCAGAGGGCTGAGGAAGGGTTGTTGAGGTGGTTCGGACATGTAGAGAGAATGGAGCGAAACAGAATAACTTCAAAGAGTGTATCAGTCTGTAGTGGAAGGAAGGCGGGGTAGGGGTCGGCCTAGGAAGGGTTGGAGGGAGGGGGTAAAGGAGGTTTTGTGTGCGAGGGGTTTGGGAAACTTCCAGCAGGCATGCGTGAGCGTGTTTGATAGGAGTGAATGGAGACAAATGGTTTTTAATACTTGACGTGCTGTTGGAGTGTGAGCAAAGTAACATTTATGAAGGGATTCAGGGAAACCGGCAGGCCGGACTTGAGTCCTGGAGATGGGAAGTACAGTGCCTGCACTCTGAAGGAGGGGTGTTAATGTTGCAGTTTAAAAACTGTAGTGTAAAGCACCCTTCTGGCAAGACAGTGATGGAGTGAATGATGGTGAAAGTTTTTCTTTTTCGGGCCACCCTGCCTTGGTGGGAATCGGCCAGTGTGATAATAATAAAAAAAAAAAAAAAATATATGTATGTGTATATACATGTATATTCTTTCTTTCTTTCAACAAACCGGCCGTATCCCACCGAGGCAGGGTGGCCCAAAAAGAAAAACAAAAGGTTCTCTTTTTAAGATTAGTAACTTATACAGAAGAAGGGGTTACCAGTCCCTTGCTTCTGGCATTTTAGTCACCTCTTACAACATGCATGGCATATGGAAGAAGAATTCTGTTCCACTTCCCCATGGAGATAAGAGGAAATAAACAAGAACAAGAATTAGTAAGAAAATAGAAGAAAACCCAGAGGGGTGTGTATATATATATGCTTGTACATGTATGTGTAGTGTGACCTAAGTGTAAGTAGAGGTAGCAAGATGTACCTGAAATCGTGCATGTTTATGAGACAGAGAAAAGACACCGGTACCTCGAGTTTCAAACAGCTCCCAACTCGAACAATTACGTAAGTGTATTTTTGTAAGTGCTTTTGCAAGTGTATTTTTAGGGGGATGAGACGGACTTGTCTAATTTACACAATTCCTTATGGGAACAAATTCGTTCAGTATCTGCACTCGAACAGCCTTCTGGAACGAATTAAGTTCATAACTCGAGGTACCACTGTACAGGCTTCCTTCCGTTTTACACTCACTTGGCACAACAGTAGTACCTCCCTGGGCGGTTGCTGTTTACCAACCTACTACCTAGAATATATGTATATACATATACAGTGGACCCCCGCATAACGATCACCTCCCAATGCGACCAATTATGTAAGTGTATTTATGTAAGTGCGTTTGTACGTGTATGTTTGGGGGTCTGATATGGACTAATATACTTCACAATATTCCTTATGGGAACAAATTCGGTCAGTACTGGCACCTGAACATACTTCTGGAATGAAAAAATATCGTTAACCGGGGGTCCACTGTATATGTATGTATGCATATCTTTCTTTCTTTCAACATACCCCACCGTGAGGTGGGGTGGCCCAAAAAGAAAAATGAAAGCTTCTCTTTTTAAATTTAGTAATATATACAGGAGAAGGGGTTACTAGCCCTTTGCTCCTGGCATTTTAGTCGCCTCTTACAACACGCATAGCTTACGGAGGAAGAATTCTGTTCCACTTCCCCATGGAGATAAAGGAAATAAACAAGAACTAGTAAGAAAATAGAAGAAAACCCAGAGGGGTGTGTATATATATGCTTGTACATGTATGTGTAGTGTGACCTAAGTGTAAGTAGAAGTAGCAAGACATACCTGAAATCTTGCATGTGTATGAGACAGAAAAAAAAAGACACCAGCAATCCTACCATCGTGTAAAACAGTTACAGGCTTCAGTTTTACATTCACTTGGCAGGACATACATATATATGTATACATATATACATGTATACATATATTCTAGGTAGTAGGCTGGTAGACAGCAACCACCCAGGGAGGTACTACCGTCCTGCCAAGTGAGTGTAAAATGAAAGCCTGTAATTGTTTTACATGATGGTAGGATTGCTGGTGTCCATTTTTCTGTCTCATGAACATGCAAGGTTTCAGGTACGTCTTGCTACTTGTACTTACACTTAGGTCACACTACACATACATGTACAAGCATATATATACACACCCCTTTGGGTTTTCTTCTATTTTCTTTCTAGTTCTTGTTCTTGTTTATTTCCTCTTACCTCCATGGGGAAGTGGAACAGAATTCTTCCTCCGTAAGCCATGCGTGTTGTAAGAGGCGACTAAAATGCCGGGAGCAAGGGGCTAGTAACCTCTTCTCCTGTATATATTACTAAATGCAAAAGGAGAAACTTTTGTTTTTCCTTTTGGGCCACCCCGCCTTGGTGGGATACAGCCGGTGTGTTGAAAGAAGAAGAAAGAAAATATATGTATGTATGCATATATGTATATATGTACAGTATACATATATATATATATATATATATATATATATATATATATATATATATATATATATATATATAATATATATATATATATATATATATATATATATATATATGTATTTATGTATATATGCATTTATGTACCTATGTATATATGTATGTGTATATATGTATTTATAACAATACTGCGACTAGCCAAAAAATAGAGGAATACATATACCATAGTGGTACCAACAATTTCATATGGATGTGAGGCATGGGTTTTGAATGTTTCTGGGAGGAGGCAGCTAGAAGCAACAGAGATGTCATGCTTGAGAGCAATGTGTGGGGTGAATATCATGCTAAGAATTATAATACCCTTGGGGTGACCAAGGGTATAATTCAAAGGGGTCAGGGGTTGTTGAGATGATTAGAGCATAAAGATAATGGGCAATGGATGAGATAATGAAGATGTATAAATCTGGGGTGGAACATAGGAACAATTGGAGGAAGTAAAAGGCTTTGAGTTTTAGGTGGTTGAGCATCCAGCAGGCTTGTGTGACCATGTCAGATAGAAGAGGTTGTTAATGGATATGCGTGAATAAGGTGTGTGAATAAGGTAACTTTTATGAAGCTGGAGTCAAGTCCTGGAGATAAAAATGACAGTCCCTGAACTCCAAAGATGAGTGGGGATGTTGCAGTCAGAGGGTCATCTGATTTGTAATGTCTGCATATTTCTGGTCAAGACAAATTAAATGAATGATGGGGAATGTGTTTTCTTCTTTATGTCACTCTGCCTTGGCAGAGGATGGCTGCTAGAGGTAAAAGAACACATTCACTATCATTCATTCATTAATTTTATATACAATACACATTTCTTTATATATATACACACATACAACACACGCATGCACACATACACGTGCATACACATACAATACGTGCACACAGGGCCAGGAGCTGAGACTCGACCCCTGAAACTACATAAAGGTGAGTACATATGCATGCATGCATGGATGCACACACACACACAAGCGCATGTACATATGTTCACATATACACACCTGCACATGCATGCATGAATGTGCACACACACTCATTTTTCTATCCAAACAATTTGAAAATATCCTTTTACAGAAGCCATAACATTTTCTTACCAAACTAATAGGGAAACATCAAAGTAATGCGTGAGTGGTGTCCCAAGAGCTATAAAAGTTAAAAATTTAGGAAAAATACAACAGAGAGCACTAAATCCAATGTTGATATGGCATCAGGAATGTGACGGAAGACAGGCGGAGACAGCCTGGATGGTAAAAGTATCACTGTTTCAGCAACAAGGATACAAAAATAGGTTATTTAAGAGGCAAAACTTAAAAGTACAAGACTGTACAGCAATGAAGTTAGAAAGATTACTGATAACCTAAATAGAGATACACATGTAAATTCGAAGAAATAATTGAAAATGAAAAATTACTGAGAAGATTCAGAGAAAACAGAAATTTTATGCCATAAATAGGGAGATGATAAACCAGGAGTTGGCAAAAAATTAGTGTAAATGTAGCAGAAATTACATAATCAGAACATGCATGTACTTTGATCTACAATAAAAAAAAAGATGCAAGATAGCCATACCAGTTTGATGAAGCAATGGGGAAAAATTTAAATACAAATGAAGTTACCAGTAGCTAAGGAACTAACCAAACATTTTAGATATGGGCATGTGAAACAGCAAATACATACAAGCCACATTTAAGAGTAAAGATTGTGCAATAAAGTTCAACCCTTTGACTGTCGAGACTCTTGCTCACAAACTTGCTCTCAGTGTTGAAGAATTTAAAAAAAAAAAAAAAAAATTTCTTATGAAATGATAAGAGAATCTTTTCCTGATGGTAATGACACCAAAAGAACGAAATTTGACTGAAAACCCATGGAATTAAGCTCTCGCAAAGTTAACAATCTCGGTGATATTCACGCATCGGCGATTTAGCCCAATTTGAGCCCTACTTTCGGCCAATTCCATTGTTCCAGTCAACCAAACTCATAGCTATTTCTTTAGAACTCCATTTGTTCTATCGACTGAGTACAAGAAACCACCCATTTACCAGTTTCAACTACTAATTGGCAATTTGGCTAATTTCACACAAATTAAAAAAGATACCAATTTTAAAACAGGGTCCAGAATGGATAATGCAGACAATCCTGGCACTAAAATAACATTTTCTCTGTTCATCAGTCATGCCTCCAGGCCCCCCTTTTATATTACTCTTGCTTTCTATTTTGAATTTTTATTCACACACAAAAAAAAAGATTTACTGTTATGCACACTACTGCATTATTGTAATAATTGTATAAATAATGTGAACCTATTCGTGACTGCATATTAGAATGGCACTTATTGGACAATGGTGTCATCTGTTTACTCTTGAACATCGGCAAAAATTGAACATTTCTGTTACTTTGCGCTCAATTTCAGGTCCTTTTCAACATGAAACCAATCAAAATCATCTCTATTTCTGTAATATGTCCTCCATTCTATCACATGAGACCAAGAAAACTAGAATACAACCATAAATACTATATGAAAATACACCTCAAAGTCAGCGTTTTAATCCAAAAACACGGTCGGAGTTTTTTTCTCATTAAGCAGTGCGTGCTGCAGATTTTTTTATACTGCGCACACTGACCACACAGACCCATTCTCTCACATGTGGGCCTACCAGCTTTCTCCCGTTTGATCTGAAACCGCTAGAATTTTGGAGTATAAATACAGTGGACCCCTGGCATTCGATGGCATCGGTATACGTTAAATCCGGTATTCGATACATTTTAACGCAAAAATTTTGCCTCGCCACTCGTTAAAAAACCCGCCATGCGCAATTCGTCCGGGACGCGTCCACGTGAGTGCCAGTGTTTACAAGCCAGCCAGTGTGCTCGCATCTAAGCATACATTCGGTACATTCCATATTATCACAGTGTTTTTGGTGCTTGTTAATGCAAAATAAGTCACCATGGGCCCCAAGAAAGCTTCTAGTGCCAACCCTGTGGTAAAAAGGGTGAGAATTAGTATGGAAATTAAGAAAGATTTTGAAGGGTTTGGGGCAAACCCTGAGAAGCCTATGCCAGTTGTGGAATCCATTGTGCCTACTTCAAAAATTAAGGAAATGTGTGCAAAGTGGGTTGAACTGCAAATCTTTATGGATGAAAATCACCCTAACACAGCTATTGCAAGCCATGCTGGTGACTATTGCAATGACAATGTTGTGGCCCATTTTAGACAAATCTTAAAGGAACGGGAGGTACAGAGCTCTATGGACAGATTTGTTGTGCGACAGGGGTCCAGTGACTCTCAAGCTGGTCCTAGTGGCATTAAAAGAAGGGAAGTAACCCCGGAAAAGGACTTGCTACCTCAAGTCCTAATGGAAAGAGATTCCCCTTCTAAACATTAACAACTTTGACACTCTCCCCTCCTCCCATCCCATCAATCATCACCAGATCTTCATTAAAGGTAAGTGTCATGTATTCTATTGTTAGTAGAGTGCTACTAACTGTGCATGTCTTCTTCAGTTTGTGTGCATTAAACTTAATATTTCATGTGGTAAAACTTTTTTTTTCATAGTACTTTTGGGTGTCTTGCACGGATTAATTTGATTTCCATTATTTCTTATGGGGAAAATTAATTCGCCTTCCGATAATTCTGGCATACGATGAGCTCTCAGGAACGGTTTAATATCGTATACCGGGGGTCCACTGTATGTCAAGAACACTGGCTCGTAAGACATATAGTATATACGACCGAAACAGTCAAAGGGTTAAAAGCATAGAACAGAGGGATCTAGAAGCAAGCAAATTAAAGATTATCAACAGATCATACAAATGCAGTACAGACAAATCTCCATTAAATTATATCCCTGTTATAAGTTGTCTCTTTTACCTGAAGACAAAAATTTTCACACCTCTATACCGTATATTGTCCACCCCTCAAGGACAGTTCTTTGATACTGGTGAGGGCTTTTTGATCTACAAAATTAGACCTGTGCTTCAATTCCTTGAATTGAGCCTGAACGCCTTTTATTCCCCCGAGTGGAATGAGCACTTCCCCTCACGAATATAATAATAATGCATATTGTACATAAACATAGTTACACGTACCCTCAAAAAAAAAAAAAAAAATCATATCGCACTGACGTGCATTATTCTAATCTATTCTAGAAAAGTATTGCTGGACCATACATCTTTAAGAGTATTATACTGTACAGTGCATATATTGTGCAAGTTACAGCATTAACATTTTTTTGACCAAAAAAAGTTTTGCATAGAACGATGACATATTTATAATAAGTCATTAACCCACACTGTTAGATAAAACTTGTCTGTAGACTGATACCCGCATGTTACACTGTTAAACTTCTATATATGTATAATCTACAGATAAATGCATGGTGAAAGGTAAGTGATGTACACGAGGGCCCTGCATATGCAGCAACTATTTTCAGTGTTCCACATTTCTGTTGGCTTTCAACTGAGCCACTGTTCCACCCGCCGGTGAACACAACCAATGGATGGAACATAATGAACAATGATTCAATTTGAAAGCCAACGAAAACATGAAACACCAAAAAGAAGGTGTTGTATATGCAAGGACTCCTGTATATTGTTTAGTTTACGTCTGCCCAAAACCAAAATATGAAGCAGTACTATAAGATCAGTAACTGAGTTGAGAAATATAAGCTATGATAAAAGATTGAATCACTAAAGAATATTCTTGATGGTTAACAGGAGAAAATATGGAATCATAATAACTGCATACTGCACAAGACAGAAAGATAAAATAGAGAAAAAACATATTGAAACCATAACAGGGAGAACAAGAGACCCCAACTATAAATTAATAATGTAAAACAGTGGTAAAAGGATACTTGATAGTACTGCTGTATTCCTATATAGTAATAGACTGCTGGAATGACATCAAACAGGAGGTAATAATTTTTACAAAATTATGACAAATTAACACTAATGATGGGACACCACAGGCATGGCTTTGCTGTTGTAACTTTCAATAGAAAAAAACTGATATTACACAAAAATCATTTGTCTTATCACTTTCAGAAAAGTGACCAAGTTAATAAGAATTTGTTACATATGCTTAAATACTTCACCATTCTAAGCAAAGCATGCATGCATATTCTGATATATTTAACTGTAATTTGCATGCAATTACTATAGTTGCATTACTTCAAGATATATACAAATGTTGCCACAATTGCATTTAATTTCATTAAAACAGACAGAGGTCCTCAAATGTCATATCAAATTTTTCTTTCTTAAGAATTTTATTATTAAAATAATGATATTGGTAGTCTTTCTGACGATCATTTACACTTACATTTGCCTCAAAGCCAAACACGAAATCACGATCAGGACTTGTAAAATTATCATTTGTCAACCAGGATTCAATGAGACTTGATTTCTTGGTGAGAACTTTACATCATTATCAACACGTAACTGGAATTCATTTAACAATTCTTTTCTTTTCCTCAATGACTTATCTATTTCTTCTTGCCTCATCCACAAAGACTTTTTAATAGGATTTTCATACTTCTTCCATTTGTTTACAGTCATTTCTGGAACTTTAAAGTTATCCCACACACTCTTACTTTTTGATTTCAATACAACTGATGAAAAAGTAGTAGATAAATTGATCTCTTTGCCACTGTCTTGTACAGTAATGACTGGAGGCGAGTTCTCTCTTAATGGTATCTTGCACTCTCTTATGACAATCACATCGTCAGTTACATTTTTAATTTCATTTTCATCAGAGCTATTGCATAAAGAAGTCTCATCCATTGCAAGATCTTCTGATGTATTGTTTTCACCACTTTTGTTGGCATCTGTTTCACAAGTGTTTTTGTTGGTGTCTAATTCATGAGTGTCTTTGTTGACATCTGATCCATGAGTGTTCTTGGTGGCATCTGATTCATGAGTGTTCTTGTTGGCTACTGATTCATGAGTGTTTCTGATGGCATTTAATTCATGAGAATTATTTTCATCACAACTCTTTTTCTTTGTTAATCTCAAAGGGTATTCAAATGAACCAAAATCGTAAAATTTAACTACTTTCCTATCAGAACTAGCAGACTCCAAATCTTTCATTTTGTCTAACTGTGAATTATCTGTAAGTGGCAATGTAATGGATACTCCAGACAAAACAGCCATTGGTTGCTTATCACTATGAATATGACTTTGTACATGTGCAGCCAGCTCACTACAGCTTGCAAACGACAGTGAGCAGTCCTTACATCCATATATTTTACACTTATGGGGGCCCCGTTCAATCATAGCATCACCACATTCCTTACACGGACTCCAGATATCATGAATTCGTTTTAAATGATTTACTATTTTTCCAGGATATAGAAAATCATCACCACAAAACTGACATATGAATGATGGACGACCACTGTGACTGACCAAATGAATTTTCATTTTCCAAGCCTTATTGAACTGTTTGTAACAATAAAAACATTCATATTGCCCTCCTACATTATGGAAATGAGAGTGCATCTTAAGCTGCTTTTCTGATTCAAATATTTTTTTACATAGAGTACAAACATTTTTTTTGGGTTTAATATGTTCCTCTCTTCTATGTTGTAGAAGATCTCTCTTTTTGCTGAAAACTTCATTGCAGTCACTACAGTTCAGTTTTTTTTTTGCTCTCTTAGCCATATTTTTTTGGGATGGTTTGTCCTCTGTATGGCTCACCATGTGTTCTGAGGGGTAAAATTTGGCTATAGTTCAAGATTCATTTGGGGCAACTGATCAAGTAATTAAAGATTTCTTTTACAGTATTTTTACACAAACTAATAATGTTTCTGCACTACAGCATTGCAAGGTGTTTGCTAATACAGTATGGTGTATCTGCCTGACTAAGCCTTTGCTCTTTTAAACTTATCCCAAAATGTAAAGAGTTTACATCAGTTCTCATTTCACCTCTATCCCAAAGAGTCCTTGATCACTCATCTATTAACAAAAACATTTCAAAGTTACCACTGTTCAGGAAATGTTTCTTTGTATTACAAATGGAAGATTTTTAACTTGTCTATTGGACGTAAGCTGCTCCATCAAATCTGAAAAAATAGTGATCAAATTAAATAAATATGTTGTATTTGATATCTTGAATTTCTGTATGCCAGAGTACATTTTTTGCACAATTGACTGAATACTGTATATGACTACATCTTTCAGATAAGCCAAAATCTACCCAACACAGGACTGAGATTGAAATTTATTTGGTGCACTGAGCCTGAATAGCATGTTTAAACCGAAATAAGTACACCCCACAAAAAAGAAAAAAAGAACTATTCTGGGATGATCCTGTTTCTCTACAGGAATGGCCCAGTATGCCAACTTTGCATCCAGGGTAAAAAAATATTTAGTATTTCCAAAACTATCTAGCATCTCTTGATTTAATGGGAGAGGTTCTGAATCATAGGAAGTTAGTGCATGATCCTTCCTGTCATCTAGTGGGGATTTATACAGAATGTTTTTCTTAGCTGTTTCTTAAAGAAGATTCTCAAAATAACACCCTGACACAAAAATCAACAAAGCAAAACCAGAGTATAATAACATATTATAGAAAGACACACAATCAGCAATTGAAAACTGTTTAGACAACATTTCACTTGCACAGCAGGCTTTATCAAATCAGAGATCATACCAGGTGGTAGAACAATTTCAAGGCAGGAGAGAGGAACACAATCAGGTGTTAACACAAGACAACAAGAAAATATAAATGAACCACTGCAGTAGGCCTGCTGGCCTGAATTAGGTAGATCATGAAACATGTTGGCATGTTGAGTAGTGCTGATACCAGTTGGTACTGCTCGGTAGTATATATGGTTTAATATCTCTATTGAAGTAGGGTATTGTACTATATACGTGAATGATCATTAACCCTTTGACTGTTTCGGTCGTATATATATGTTTTATGAGCCACCGTGTTTGACGTATATATACTCATAAATTCTAGCAGCTTCAAATCAAGCAGGAGAAAGCTGGTAGGCCCACATGTGAGAGAATGGGTCTGTGTGGCCAGTGTGCACCATATAAAAAAAATCCTGCAGCACACAGTGCATAATGAGAAAAAAAAAAAACTCCGACCGCTTTTTTTAATTAAAATGCCGACTTTGTGGTCAATTTTGCGTATAGTATTTATGGTTGTATTCTCATTTTCTTGGTCTCATTTGATAGAATGGAAAACATATTATAGAAATAGAGGTGATTTTGACTGGTTTTACTATGAAAAGAACCTTGAAATGGAGCTCAAAGTAGGGAAAATGTTTGATTTTTGCCGATGTTCAAAAGTAAACAAATGATGTCATTTTTCCAATAAATGTCCAAGTAGCCATTCTAATATGCAGTCATGAATGGGTTGACATTATTTATACAATTATTACAATATTGCAGTAGTCTGCATAACAGTAACTGTTCTCCAGGGCCTGGAGACGTGACTGATGAACAAAGAAAAAGTTATTTTAGAGCCAGGAATGTCTGCATTGTTCATTCTGGACTATTTTGAAATTGTCATATTTTTTAATTTTTGTGAAATTAGCCAAATTGCAAATTTCTTTACCATGTTATTGGGTAATTGAAATTGGTAAATGGGTAGTTTCTTGTACTCAATCAATAAAAAAAATGGAGCTCTAAAGAAATAGCTATGAGTTTGGTCAACTGGAACAATGGAATTAGCCGAAAATAGGGCTCAAAGTGGGCAAAATCGCCAATTCGTAAATATCGCTGAAGTCGCTAACTTCATGAGAGCGTAATTCTGTCAGTTTTCCATCAAATTTCATTCTTTTGGTGTCATTACAATCAGGAAAAGATTCTCTATAATTTCATAATAATTTTTTGGGGGGGGATGGGGGGGAGGGTTGCGACACCAGAAGACACCTCAGGATTTGGGGTTGTGACAGTCAAGGAGTTAATGTGACTCCTTTCTTCAAAATGAGAGATAAGTCTCTACCATCAATTACTACCCAATCAGCCTGACATCAATAGTGGGGACAATATTAGAATCCACAAGAGCAGATATAATTAGAAGATGCTCTGATAGGCATAAGTGATCAAAGTGTCTCAATCTATCCATCTAAGAATGATGTTAGTAGTGACTTTGATCTTGCATAATGTTTTACCCTGATCTGGTGGTATACTCCAGATATAACACCAGGTATGATCCATCAGGCTTGATAAAGTCTGCTGTACTGGAAAAAATTTTGCCTAAATAAAGTTTCCAATTACTACACATGGGTCTTTGTCAACTACAAGGGAAAAATCACATTGTAATGAATCTTAAGTGGAGAAAAAGACGATGAGAGTTAAGTTTCTAGGCCTGCTCAGATAATAAATTAAAATTTAATGCTCAGATTTACCTCATTTAAAAAAGTATCAAAAAACAAAGTATATTCTCCAACATTTATTATTATGTTCCCTAATCTATACTACACACACACACACTACTTTTCTCCAGTGGTGGCTCCAATAGTTTTATATGGGATAAAGGGGAGCTGAGAGAATTTTGGGGGAATTCAACCAATCAATTTAAGACTCTTCTCAAAAGCCACTTAATCACCATAAACTAAACACTAATACTCAGTACACACATACTCACTTATGTACTTCCACATCATAACTTCAACAATCACTTTGAACCTTTTATCCATTGTTGACAGGAATATAATTGAATCATTGTTTTCACAAAAAGCATTTTCGAATATATGAATATATCTTTTGTCTTATACAAATTCTGATTCATTTATAATTAATAATCTATTGTGCAACTATGAAATAATTACTATCCTACTGTACAACTATGATATAATCCTTAGTGTTAAGTAGTCTGTAAGCCAATAATGTTAAGTTGGCCCATAATGCCTAGGCATAATAGAGGTTCTCTTTGCATTGCAACCCACTATTGTAAATACAAAATCTCAATGTACTGTTTGCAAAGACATAAAATAAATAAATTAATAATAAATAAATACCACTGCTTCTCTCAATTATACATATGTCACCTACGGAATTTGTACTTTGGGGTTCTATCTAAGCTGTCTACCTCAAACCAAATTATCACAACCACAAAAAAGGAAGTTATTAAAACCATCACAAACCAAAAATTTAAGCCACATTCTATACCCTTATTCAAATCATTATATTAACTATAGTAATGTCATTCAAACTTACTATTATTCACTCCACATTTTCAAACGTTATCCTATGTTCATTATTTTTCTAATTTAATCAAGTCTCCAACCATTATTATATCATTACTTCCTTAACTTTGTAATACTTTTGCAATTAAGTTTCAATTTAGCATTAAATTTTAATTTAATGTCTTTCACTACAATTTGTATTAACAGGTACAATACTACTGAGCAAAATTTTAGTGTATACTAGATTTATATACACAGACTATCTGGTAAATTGTTCTATTGTTAGTACTGTATTAGTCCTAACTTAAGACCATGTGAAATATTACACAAAACTATGGGCTTTGCCTTGTAAAAAATATACATTGTTCACCTACTATTATAACTATCTTCTTTTGAAAAATTTTATCTTATATAGTGATACTAAATAATGAGAAAATTTGCATTAATTCTGGCATACTGTATTAGTAAAATCTAAATATTCAACATGACACTAGAAATAATGCAACAGAATACATTTTATAGCAAATATTTTACGTATTGAATGAACATTTCACATATACAGTGGAGCCTCTACTTACGAGTTTAATCCATTCCGTGACCTTGCTTGCATCTGGATTTGCTCGTTTGTAGAGTCAATTTTCCTCATTTAAATTAACTGAAATGGAATTAATCCGTCCCAGTGGAATTCCAAACAACCAAAATTACTTGAATATTTCCCTAATATCAACTCTATAGCTTATTTATCTATCACAATTCATCTAATATGACATAAACAATATTAATAACATAGAAACATGAAATATACAATAGAATGAATGAAATATGTCATTACATATTAGAGTAGTCGTAGTGGAGGCTGAGGCACAGCAGCAATTGTTCCTGCTCCTGACTGTTATAAAAGCATGGGAAGGTATGTACCTTCCCATGCTTTTATAACAGAAAATGGAGTGTTTGTAAGGCAAACTCCATTAGATCACTATGTAGTTTCATAAGGAAAACAATAATAATAATAATATGTACTGTAATAATAATAATAATAATAAAAATAATAATGATGATAATACGTAATAATAACACTATAGCATTTACCTTGGAGAAGAGATGCTGGCAAAGGTTGATGAGGGAGAAGAGATGCTGGGCACAGCGGCGTATGCCGTCAAGAGTTTATTTCGTTTCGTCCTTTTTCTATCGCTTAATTGCTACACTCTTAGTTTGTGTTTATCAATGATTTCCTGGTTTAATTCCATGGAAATCATCCTCTTTTTCTTCTCAGCACTGTCTTTGCACTTGTTTTCTTAGGAGCCATGGTTAGAAACAAGAAATTCTGCAAAATAACTGCACGAAACATAAGCAAATCACGAGAATTATCTCCACCACCCGTTGAAGCACAAGCAGACTTAGTGTTGTTTTCATACACGTAATGCCACCTTGTGGTGGTGTTCTCAAACTCACTTATACGTAGTACTATTATAATTATTATAGTATTATTTATTATTAGTAGTACGTACGTATTATTATAATTTATATTATGTATATTATTATATAATTATTATATTATACGTATTATTATACAGTGGTCCTCAATAATCGTCGGGCTCGATAGTTCTCCTTTTTGGAAATCGTCGCGTTATTTTCATCCAAACATTGGCTCACAAATGGTTGGTTGACTCGCTAATCGTCGTTCGTCCTGGACGCGTACTCACGGCGGCTCTGAGCCGTCTCGGCCTCCCTTCCCAGCCAGTGTGCCATTGTTTACCAGTGAGCGATGATCCCCCCACTTGTTCATACGAAATATTTCATAATACGTATTCCATTCATTTTAGTGCTTGCAAGTGCTAAATAAGCTATCATGACTCCAAAGAAAGCTCCTAGTGCCAAGCCTTTGGTAAAGAAGGTGAGAAATACGATTGAATTTAAGA